ATATGTTACCGGCAAAGTATGAAACGCCGGTATTGTATGGAGTGCCTAGGCATTGTATACAATGCTGGATGCTTTTAGGCAAAGTAGGAAATGTGAGAAGTATTACATACTTTCCCTAGGCATTGTATAAACTACCTAAGCATTCTATAGATACAAATGCTATTTAGGCGAAGTATGAAAAAAACATACTGATGAGGTTATTATGTAAATAATGTTCATTTCTCAAAAATAAAAATGCTATTACGAAAAAATAATGAGAGTGCCATTAAAAAAAATTAATTCAAAATGCGTAAAGAAAAATGAAAGTTGTACAAAACACAATTTATGTCTTTCTTATTATGGGAAACAAAATGTTCACATAAAAAATTCACATTTAAGTCACAATTATTTTCAGTTTAGAAACAAATATTGCACAAAATATACATTTCATAACCTCTATTAACATGGCCACAGAAGATTTTATACTTTGCCTGTTTCTTATTTGGCATTCTATAGAATGTCTAGGAAATGTGTGAAATATAAATCGTTTCATACATTGCCGGCTAGTTTTAGGCATTATATACAATGCCTAGGCATTCTATAGAATACCAGATTTCAAACTTTGCAGGTAACATATACATTTAATATAACTTTTCATTATTTTTTTTTGTAAATGTAATAGTGTTATGATATTTCATTATTTCCTTATAGCAAGGTAGTTGATAAACTCTATATTAATATCCAGTTATTTCCATCTTTTTTTTATTTTAGTTGCTTAATAAACTATATTTTCTGTTTAATTATAAATATTTAAATGAAAAGTTACTCTTATCATTCATCACGCCTCTAGGAATCTATTGAGCACACAGCACGAGCTAAGAATCTATCCCTGTAACATCTTAAATCATCATCTTAAATCATTAATTCACAATAGGTGCACGAAACGCATTTTTTCTCACACATTATTCAAACTGACATTTTTAGTCAAAAATTTAAAAAATCTGACAAACTTTTAATTACTGAATAAATCATACCATAACCATAAACTATTGGTTCAATTAAAGCTATCTAGAAAAATTAACTTTAATTGAATGGTGAAGATGTATAAATGATATGCAATGTTCTTCTATGATTTTATGTTTGCATTTTTAATGTACTCGTTAAAAATGCTCAAATCTTCTTGATTCGAAAAGTTCATGCATTGGGTACCTTCTTGAAAGGGAGTTATTGAAAAACAATTTAAACCGGTGAGCAAATTGGGAATTTCTGGCGTATTGGGGGAGTACGAATTAATAGTTAACCCAATAAACTCTTAGGTTGGAGTAATTGAAGGGTCTTGGAGATTCATTTATAAGTTTGTGAACCAAGTACATTCAGCAAAAAACAGCTATCTCCCTTAATAACTTTTGTTCTACTGATCAGATTTTCACTAAGTACTAATTATTACAACTCATTGTAACATGTACACATTGTAACATGTATAACTTGCTCCTTATAACTCGGCCTTAATTTAATTTTAGATTTCTTACTATAAAAATTAATTACGTTGATTACCATTTAGTTTATCCGGTGTTGACCACTACGTGTAGTAGTATGCTCTCTATACATATATGAGATTAAAGTTTGATAATTTAAAAAAATGGTTTCAAATATGCTATCTCGTTGAGTTTAATTACTAATTAAGTTACGGAATCATATACATACTATTTTCCCTGGATAAACAAAACTTTAGTCAACAGGATTGAATTCCTAACAAACAAGATATGGAAGTAGCCGCAATCTAATAAAATATTGCTCCAACAGTTTAGGCAGGAGAGCGAACGAAATTATGGGAATTTTACTGTCATTTTAGTTTTTTGTGTGTGTCGCCATATATTAAGAAGTTTTAGTGCATTGAAAGGTCTTTATAGAAAATTATAAAATTGGTCTATAAAAGATAATTCAATGTAAAAAACAAACTTTTATCTTAAAATTGAAATAAAATGATTTTTTATTAAAAAAAAGTTTTTTAATAAGCAGAAGCTAATTAGCTAGTTAGATTTATTAAATAATAAGTTTTTAATAAATAAAAATTAATAGGAATACAGAATGTATTATTTACTATAATAAGAGTCGACAAATGTTTAATTAAAAGGTATACAATGTTTAAAACTATTTTAATCCAGGTAAAAATATTAAAATACTAGAAGGATCATTTTGAACAGAAAGAATGAAAAAAAATGGGTCACAGCAGAATTAGCCGATTAATTTTTCTTTTTATTTCTGTTTAAAAAAAGTTTTTCACGGGAATGCTAAAGTAGTAAATTATGTTTTTAAAGAAAACTCACTGATAAGCACAAAAGGTTGTCAATCGGAAGTGAATTGTTTTGACGACAGTGAAATTTTCTTTAACCAAACTGGTTCACAAAAAATTGTTTTTAGAGGTGGTATGTAATTTTACTTAAACAAACTCCATTAATAAAGCACTTTTTAACGCCTCAAGAAATTATAAAGTGCACTTTGTTTCTGAAACTACTTGTCATTTTATTGCATTAACTTTGCTATAAAGTTTTTTTTCCTTTTAAATGACTCCAATAAGCTCTCGGGATTATTTTTTAGGACGTATTTAATGAAGGAGAATTTTATGAAGATATTTTTCCAAATGTAATTTAATTATTTCATGCAACACTGCGTTTAACGAAAATAGCAGAAAAGGATATGAGAACTTTCTCTGAAGAAAAGCAGAAGGGAGGATTTAAAATCCTTAAATGAAAGAACGAAGATTTACGATGTTCTTTAAATTTGCGCTTCAAATATATTTAAGATATGTAGAAATGTTTTATATGATAATTAAATTTATTTTTGATTTCAGTTACAAAAACCTAAAATAACATGATTATACATTTACTTTCTCTTAATGAATCCAGATTACTTTCATTTTCCCAGAAATACAGTTCAAAAATATTTTTTATCGAATTGCTTTCACTCTAGCGAAAGTAAGCTCAAATAATGCAGAAAAAAACTACTTAATACTAGCAGACTAGTTCATAGTCTTGTAAGTAACATTTGATATTTTTTTAACTGATAAGAATAAAAATAATATATAAGATAAGGATAATAACTAATAAATAAGAATACATTTAATTGATAAGAACTATTTAATAAGTTATTAGTCTTGCTGAATACCTTAAACAAAAATAATGTCTTTAACAACCATTTAATGGAAAAATATTACTTTTAACTTGTTTTTTTATATTTCTCAAAAATGACAATTTGGCTATCTTTAAAATTTGCTTATACTGTGTCATAAAAGTAGACACACACTCAAAATATTTCCTATAAATATACAAAATAGACCTGAAAAGAAAAAGAACTGACTATTATTAATATATTGTTTTTATTTATAAATTTCATAGGTTTATTAATCATACATTTAATTAAAAATTAGTATTTAATGCGTTAAACTAAAATAATATAAACTTGCTTTTTTACTAATTTTAATGGAAAAATATTATCTTTAGCATGTTTGCGAAATGGTATTTTCCAACACACATACTTTATAACAGCCAGATTATGATCTACTTTTGAATTTAATAACACCATGTCATAAAAATAGCACATACTCAAAATATTATACGACAATAATTCCTGAATAAAATTTAAACTTATTGCAGGATTTTTTTTATAGCAAAAGATCTAGGTTTGCCTAGGATAGGCAAACAGTTTTTTTCTCCATGCAACAGCAGTGGAAAATTTTATTAAGTATAATCAAACACCGAGTCACAGGCTGTTTCATGAAATTTATTCAATGAAACTTGTAACTGTAGTCCACATCTGCTTAAATATTTGTCCCACTGTGACACCAGTAGCTGTGCGTCATGTTCTCAAAAAAAATTACAGCTGTATAGGTCAGTTGCACATGCGCACTTTTATTTCAACATTCCTTTAAAACAGATTTTTGTGCAGTGCTCTTTTGAGGCCATCGAAGTTGTGGATGTTATGTGAGGGCAGATGTAGAATGTAGAATGGCTGTTCTTAAACTTCCTATTTAAAATAATTCCGCTGTATGTATGCATTGCTTTGACTGAAAAATATCTAGCGCTATCGTACAACATGGCAAATGCACGATAAAGTCATTTCTATTTGATTGTCTGAGCATTGATTGCACCTCAAGTACTGCTTTTAAGTCAAGAAAGTTTCTTGTCATAATTAGTTTCAAGAGTAATTAAATTTTTACAAAACTGCTGAAATGCATAAGAAACAAGCCTTAACTTTCTACAGTTTATTACAGTTGTAATTTTTTATTTGGATATAGCACCATTTAAAAAAAATGTTTAATCATATAATTTTAAAGCGTGCTATTATCGTTAACATAAAATTTAGAATTAGTAGAAAACTCATATCCGTAGAAATAATGATAATGAAGCCATACCAAGTTTCACGAAAGATTTACTAATGAAATATTTCAATGGAAATCAATAAGTGTGTTAATCAGGTCACAAATTACAATAATAATTAATTCTTATTTAAATTATACAAATAAATGTTTGATTTTAGAATTAATAAATTTTAAAAGGATTTTATTATACTCGCTCAACTGAGTTGTTATCATGGACCAAGGAGGCCTATATTCTTATTTTATGAAAAGTAAATAAAAGAATGCAAGAAAGAGCTTAAAATTATAAGATTTAAAAAATTGTGGTGAAAAGTAAAAATATAGTCACATAAAACAGTTTCGTTACTATTATGAAACACTTTCTTCAGTGCCGAAAAAAGGAATAAATTGAATTATAAATAAAGTTGAAACTCAATTGAATCGATTCTGTGTCTTGCTGCATTTCCTTATAAATTATATTAATACTTAATTAAAGAACCCGTTTTGTGCTCTGACACCAAAAAATGGGTTTAATTATAGTACTGAAATGACCCTATCGTTTAATGTGGCATCTGTGCTTTGCGCTAAGTTAAGTCTTCTTTATTTGGAATAAAAATATCTCTGGCGTAAGACAATAGCCTGTAAAATTACAAGAAATTAAACGCCATTAAAAATAAATTATTTTATTTCCAAGAAGATATATGTATCACAAATATTTATATTTAATTTGAATGTTGATTCACTTCTGATGGTGACTTGCTATTTCTCTTCTTGTCGTTTTGAGATTTCCAGCAACATCGATGACTTGAAGCAGATGCAACAGCAGAGTCTTTTAACCCATTTGTATGCAAATAACGTCTAATAAGTTGAATCATGAGTTTCTATTTAATAGAATTAAATAATTTGCTTACTTTCAGTTGTAATTTTTAAATTTCCAATTCAAAAGTACAAATTGAATTTCTAGATTTAAACATTTCAACAATCTTTATTTAGCTATTTCTAACTTGAGTTGTTTTTAAAATCCTTATTTTTAAGACAAAAATAAAAATTACTTTTTTTCCTCATAAAAATGGTTACTAACTTTATTTCTAACTCACACTCATTTCTTTTGGATAAAAAAAAGTTTTTAAGCAATGATAAGAGGAATCCCCTACAAAAATTAAAGTTGCTTATTTTAGGTTCATTTGAGGTTGATTTGAGGTTTAATTGAAGTTAACTTCAAAAACAACCTTAAAAAGTCGAGGTTGTTTTTGAGTTGTACAAGTAGGTTTTCCCTTTTCTTTTTGTTTTTTACTCTTCCAGCAAATAAACATATTTGAGGTGTGAGTAATTTCATCCGATTTCAACTGAATGTATTGAGATGTTTAATAAGATGTGAAAAAATTTTCTTTTTTATAATTAAGCTCATTTTGATGTTGATAGAAATCCAGCCAGAGGTGTTTCATCACATGCTTAAAAATTTGCTTTTAGATATACAAATATATTCATTTACGACCTCTAAAGTGTGGAATGATATGCCTTTGACTGTAAAAAAAGTAACTTAAAGTGTAAGTAAATACACCAGAGATCGATGGTTATAAATGTCTCGCACGTGCAAAAGCATACACCTGAGATTGAAAATTAGGTAATGTTTTACACCAAAAGTAACCTCATCATTATATTTCAATTTCACCCTCATTTACACCTTATAAAATCAACCTCATATTTATACCTCAAAATCGCCTTACTTTTTTTGTAAGGGATGAGATAGGTAGGTAATTGAAAAGCAGCGTTCACAAATTAAGTAAAGACAAGCAAATGAAAAAAAGCAACCATTCAACTCAAAAAACTAATTTAACTGAAAAAAGTAGAAGATGTAAAAGTGAAAGAGCCAAACTACAATTGTTGAAGTATTCAAAAATATATTTGGGCTATAACAGGATACGCTTATTTTGCTTAAAAAGATTTTAACGTTAATTAGATTCCTTTAAGGTTAAATATAATTCCATATATTATTCATATTTTAAATAAAAACATAGAAAATATTAATGTTTAGTTTAATATTTTTATTATTTTAAAATAGTATAATTATAATGAACACAAATGAGCTATTGACAAGAGTGGGAAAAGAAATAGAAACATCAGATCGAAAAGTAATTAAAAGAAGACACGGTTTAGAAATTCTGAAACAAAAATAAATAATTTGCGACCACCGCATAAATACATTTTATGTTTGAGGCCATAAAATTTTGCTTTGAGATAAAAGCAATTAAAAATTTCGGTAATGTGCTCTGAGGAAACTTTACATTTTCTCAAGGCATATCTTTTTTATGACTTCAAATATTAAAAACACTGCTTTTAAAAAGCGTTTCAAACAAGGAAAAATATACGATTTAGGCAAATAAATTAATTAAATTTTCAAATTGACTTAAGCTCTTAAAACTTTTTTCCTAAATTAAGTTCTAAAACGAAAGAGTTCTCATTTTTATTTACTGTGACACTTAAGACTATGTTTATTCATTTAGCATTTTCGTTTTTTTTATTTCCTCTTAATCTGATCTCAGAAATAGTATTACTTTAAGGGATAATATGAATTGATAATATCTATGCATTTTAAAAAATTCCGGATCAAAATACCGGAACTTTGCGTACATCATCCATAAAATTCATTTCCCGTCAAATAGTAAACTATAAATTTTACAGTGTTATTTATTTAATTAAAGATATTCAGTGATTTTGCTGCCATTATTACTGCAAAAATTAGGGTATATTAGATTTTTTAATACGTAACATGTTCCGATAAAAATGGATTATACGGAGAAAAAAAACCGTCACACTGAGTGTCGGTACTTTTTACCGTAATTTGATCTATAATTTTTCTACAGTGTAAACGATAGTTATAAATACATTAAAAGAAATAATAAAAATATTAACTGACAGAAATATTTCATAAAAATATTTCATAAAAATATTTACTTAAACTAACCACGAAACAATTTTTTTTTTCAATAAGAAGTGTTAATATCCCATATTAATATTTTCAACAGAAATAAACTTTTGTATCGCAATAAATAAAAAAATTAATTTACCTCATACTTTTCCTCTTCAAGCTTTTGTTCTAGTTTTTCCTTCTCACTGTTTTTGTGAAAAAGTTTCTAGAAAAAATATTTTTCGTATGATTTTTTGGATGAAGATTCAAATTAACAAAAAATGACGTTGGAAATCACAATTAGAAAAATTTATTAAAACCTCAACGCGTTTCGATATCACATCGGTACACCTTCATGAGTAGGGAAAACGGCAGGGATACCAAAACAGAGATGATATTAACCGAGGCAACTTTCACACTACAGCGTCAAATCATCAACATCTTAAGCATTAACATTACAGTAAAAACAAAAGCAAAATTTTAAAAAAATGATTTCTACGTTTAAAATTTTTTTTTGTCTTTTATAGTCACTTTAATGTTGTAATTCATAAACTAAATGTTTATCTGAGTTAGTGTGACGTCACTTTTGTCAAAAAATATCATCACTGTCTCGCCATCTCCGCCATTTGTCCGAGTGAATTAAATTGCAAAAATGTGACACCGAAACTTGTCTAGGTATTTATAAAATTTTACTATATGTGATTTTACTTTTCTGCATCTTTTCTGTTTTAATTTAATTTTTCACATAGAATTACTGTTGATATTTTATTATAAAGATTCATTTAATTTAATTATACATGCGTTATTAACCACTTTCAAGAACGTGATCACAAATGCGTGGACACGCGATTCTCTTATAATGGCTCACGTTGTCATGCATGAAACGAGCTTTTCCGATTCTCAATTCGGTTCTCCTTTATTACATATCGCGCTGACCGGCCTGTGAAAGGGTCAGGGAATTTGCCTTGCATCAGAAAGGTTCTGGGTTCCAGTCCCGGGCAAGGCACGAATGTTCTTTTATTCTCTGTACTATCTGTCCTTACTGTGGGAACGTTGTCCCACCTAATATGGTGCCCCTGGAAAAATGAAAAACAAATCTGCCCTTCAGATGCCTGTATGACGTAAGTCCTTCCCCAGGCAGAGATTGGAGAAAAAATACTAAATATCGTATTAGTACGTACACATACTCTTCAGGACGTATACTCTCGGGGTGTGCGGGTTCGGGAACGCTTCGTTCTCCATCGTCGGTCCTGAACGGGTTAAAATAGAAGTGCAGCTGTATTATATGAAACTGAGGTACAAAAATGGAAAAATAAATTTAGAAACATCTACAGAAGAGATCGGAGAACAATTTCAAGGAAAAAACGGCTCTCAAAATAAATTTAAGTTTGAAAACAGGCAGGTGTTACAATCATAAAAATATGTACTTTAGAAAAATATTTCCTTTATTTGAACGGATGTATTTTGAATTTATGTTGACAAATAGGATACAACCGTGGCACTTTTACTTCGTATTATATTACATTAAACATTTTTTCCTTATAATTACCATACGAAGTACGAAAATATGCATTAATTTATAAATGTATTTTCATGCAATGTATTTCTACAACGTAAGTTTCTGTGAAAAAGTAAAATAAGTTTAAAAAGAATTTTATTGCATCTTACCTGTTTGGAGAAATTGAAAATATTAATGTAACTAATCTTTCCTTTGCTCTCTGACACTCTTCTATACTTAATAAAAAACCATCTCAAAGAAGGAAGCAAATTAAAAGGAGGCGGCACTAAACAGTTATAATCAAATACACTAAGCCAAAGGGTAGAACAGCCAAATTTCCACTCTATATCAGCGTTTTCCTATGAAGAATTAATATGTATGTATATTAAAAGGACTTTTTTTAAGCACTTAAATAAAAAAAGGAAAAGAAATCTTTTATTTTCATTCAGGAAAAGGGCTCCCTTCTGTCTTCGCTTACCAATCTCCACAGCTGCAACAATTTTTTTCATTGTTTTTTGACGATAAATAGATTGAAAATAAAAAAGAAAAAGAATACAATTGAATAAATCGATATGTTTATTGTTTTAACATAAATTCCGCTTCGCAGATACACTGTGAGAAATAACTGTAATATTCTGCAGAATGAAAACATATTTTTCACAAAAAAAAACTATTTAAGAAAAATAAAAAAAAATTTTCTGCTTTTATCCATCATCTGCTAGCTCGTAAAAAAAATTTGCATTTTTTTTACGAATTTTCTTTGTATATTTGACGGTTTAAAGCTGTTTTGTAAACAAAACGGCTTTTCGCTATTTTTTTTATCCTGAGCATAAACAGCTTAAGCCCGTCAGTTCAAATTTTAGTTTCTGCCATGCAGTTGTGCTCCGCGTAATCTAATATTTTCAAATCATTTTACGATTCCTTCCTATTCTATTGTTTCTCAGGTCAATAAGAAGGTGTGGTCAATAAGAAGAATTGAATATTTTATCACCATTTAAATAAAGGTTAAAAATTTAGTTACCTGAACTCTTTGATAGCTCTCTGCCATCATTCCAATAAGCATGTTAAGAACAACTAAACAAGCAATGAAATGGTATATGCCCCACATGGCATATCCAACGGCTTCAGTAAAAAAGTGATCATTTTCAGCAATTTTTATTCCCAATTCTGATCCAGTATCATTTTTTGGACAATGATAAATGTCAGCAAAGTGAGGTTCTCCTTTTCCAAATATTGCCCAAAACAACTTGTTGCCTGTTTGAAATAATCTACAAAAATTGGTTTATTAACTTATAAAAATAATTATATATATTTAAAATAAATGTAAAACTACTCTGTCTTTTATATTCATTTTCTGCCATTTATATTGTTATTTAAAATCAAAATGCAATGACCAATTTAAAAGCAAGTCAATTGTGGAAAAGGCATACTTGTTGTAAAGTTATTAAATAAAAGCATTAAATGTGTTCGTTTTTCTAAGAACAACCAAAATTAAGAAAATTTCTAAGCCTTTTTAAGCATTACGAGAATTACTTTAGATTATTTAAAAAATTAAAATTATTTGATTAAATAATTTATTCTTATGTTGAAAATTTTGAAACATCTTATCACGCTGACTAGTACCTTTTGTAAACTTTTATGTTTCACTATACATTTTTATTAATAAAAACTGGTTAACTATATTTCGTTCATGAAACAATTTTTAAGGTTATCTCTGAGACTCCGGTTTAAAAACTTTTCTTAAATGTACAGACACTTTATCTACAGTCTAAAGAAAGCTATGCGCGAATACTTTGCGCAAAAATTAATTTGAATAAAGATGCTTAAAACTATATTTAAATTTTGAAAAATTCATATTTATTTTGAAAATTCTGTTGTTTAGAATCATTTATCTTCATCAATGTAATAAGTTATCATTTACCACTCAACAAACTTTTACAGATGGATGGCAAGCTTTTCACATCCTTTCATCTACAGGGATTAGATTAAGCTGCTTCATGATTTGGCCAAAGTAAAAAAAATACATTTTTTTTTCTATTCCGTGAAAAAAAAATATTTTTTTAACGATTTAGAGGAAGCGGAACTAAAATATTTAAAAAAAGCGGGATAAACGATCCGTAGTTTTCTCACAGGAAAAAGTAGAAGTTAACTAAAAGAGTTTGAACAGTATAATTCTTATTAATAACTACCTCAAAATAATCCAGGGAGTTTACACTTGATAACATAAGTAAAAAATAACTATATCCACAAGATAAATCATAAGTCAACGATTTCTGAAATTATTATTTGTTGTGAGGTGCATGATCAGTGTAGAATTCAAAACAGAGAATAAAATTCAGAATGGAGAAGCCATAGTGGAAGACTTAAAGATATAAACAACTATTTTAATTATCAAATTTATGTGATTTTATATTTCGAATTAACTCTGGGTGATTAAAATTTTTGTTGTAATTAAATTATCACTATTGAAGGTTTGTTTCAGCTTACATTATAAATTATAACAAACTAATAATGCATAAAATCAAAACCTACGCTGAATTTTAAACGTAACAACTTCATGGGACATTTTTGAACCTACGTGGAGAGAAAAAATGTCGGTAAAATTACCGAACTGTAATGGTAATGACATTTCTGGTAAGAAAAAAAATGGTTACGAAAACGGTTACGAAAAATTTTGGTTACGAAAACGTAACATACGGTATTTAAACCATTCATTTGATGATTTTTTTTCCATTTATATGGTAACGGTACTGGAAGTTCTGGTTTTCAAAATTATAATTCTTATTACCACCTAATTAGTAAAAAATACAAAACTGAAAAGTAAATTAAACTGAATAAATGTTTGTTTTTTTACCATACTCTAAGATGTTATGATAATATTATCAAATTTTATCACGGATAATAAGAAAATATGTTATTGTTTATTTTACCAAAATCATTTAATACTTTTTTTCCAGTGTATATTGTTTAATTATAAAAACTGATGCAAATTTTCCTTTAAATTTCATAGAAAATTTCCTTTCTAACATCAACCTTTTATTGCTATCACATCTTTTGACATTTACTTTGCGAACTGTTTAAAGTTGCGATATATTCGATACATATTGAACATTTATTAATTTTTTATAAGTTTGGTTTATTTTTCATTTAAAGACTGATCTTCTAATTAAATATTATGTACTGTCAATAAATTATGAGTCAAAGACTATATGTTAATGAAACTCATAACTACTGTCTACAATCGATTTGGCCTCTTGTGACACTAGTTGCTCAATGCCATGTTCGTAAAAAACTATTGGTAGCTATTTGCCCCAGTATTGAACGCTTGACTTCGCCACCCATTTGAAACCTATGTACCCGCAGTACTCTTTTTTAAGCACAACGAAAATGAGGGAATCTCATAAGGATTCAGAACTCAGAAACTTTAAATGGACTCGAGAATCACTATTTAAAATTCCGCTATTGTTCTAAGTGTGGTCTAACTTTGTCGTGCAGCAACATAACTCGGACAGAAATTTTACCATAGCACTTGATTTAAATGAATATTTGAGTTATATTAGCGTTTTCAAATACCGACTTCAGCTCCAGTGGAAAGGAAGTGTGACCTCTATCATCATATTATAATCTCTGTGTTTTTATGCCGACAAAAGAACAACATCTTTAAAAAATTATTTAAAAAAAATTCCTTTAAAGTATGTAAGTTAAAGTAATTTTTAAATATAAAAATAAAGTTTTAAGATGTAGTGGAGGCAACAGGAGCTACAGTGTTACTTTCAGCTACTAAATGTGACTCAGCTACAGATGGGCTTGGTTGTAATCATTTTATCATTGCTTGCATAACAAGTGTTTCTATCTATGAAAAACATGTAAATTCTCTTCATTACACTATCAACTACATTTCGAAGCTGTCACAATTTTTCTAATATAGCTTTTTATAGTTTGTTTTCTAATATCATAGTTTATTTTTGCCTAGTCTTTTATTGTCTGTAATTGATAAACTTTCAGAAATACCCAAATAATTTTTAATTAAGTCAGTTTTTTTTAGCATGAAAATATTAAAATTATTTTCTCCAAAATTAATGTTAAGCCTAATATAATTTTATTCAAGCAATAATAGAGCATACATAGCAAAGTTGTACTTACGTTTGAAACTCGTTTCCGTTGTGCAAATGGTTTCCGTCTTTGAAACACTCCCCAGTATTTTCATAATATTTGTAAAGTGAATTGATTCCAATTGAAAACGCAATGACCACCACTTGAAAAAGTATAAAGAAGCGCACCACATCTCCAATCATGTGTTTTAACGTTACTGTCAAAGGTCCAAGGTGATAGCTAAATTTACACCAAACGATTATTCGACAATATGCCATTATTGATGCAGTGGCATAAATAGCATCTGCTACTAGTACCGGATCGTAACCAGTCATCTCCTTACGATTCATGGAACCACTCAGTACACCAGATAGTTTAAGTACAAAAATAGCTTCGGAAATAACAAATAAAAGTATCATTCCTGCATCATAAAAGTAGCTTTTGTACCAGCAACCTAAACCTTTTCTATATCCAGTCCAGCACTTCGCAAGCATGTCAATGAAAAATCCTACAATCCACAGACCTACAAGAATTTCTGTAGCCATGCCTTGCCTTGAGCCATCAAATCTGTTAATTTATATAAATTTGCAGTTAATTTGTTTGAAAAAAAAGTATATTTTTTTTTACAATTATATCTACAAACATGGATAGATATCCTAAAAATGACAGACGATTCGAAAAATGAGTTGAAAATGCGGAAAGAGATTATGTATACCGTTTGCTTACAGGAAGACAGTACGTCTTTAATTTAGATTGGGATGAAACTTGAGATACTAGTCGTAAAGCTTAACATTTTCCTTCAACAGATAACGCGCTTTCTGCGGGAAATATAATAAAAAAACGTTTTCTACTACTTTTAAAGCCTACACTGTAAAAAAACATGCGTTCATAAAAGTGGTGTAGAGATAAAATTATGTGAGAGGTATATTCGATAGTTGCCTGCATCATTTGAACCAAGAACTTCCAGGTCCGTAATAGGATGCTCTAACCACCATATTTGTACATAACAGACCAGAGTGTGTTAGGAAACTTTATATAGTTTCTTCCGCAATAACAATTATTGGTATTCATTCCACTCGCTTAAAAGGTTTTAAGATATAGCGATAAAAGCAAAAAGTGAAATTAAAATTACCGATTGCCTAAGTTATTGGAACCATATTTTACAAATTGCAACCCTTTATACCATTAAAATTGGAAATTAGTATATCATGATATGTCATTGCGGCGGTCACTAAATAAAGCTTCTTAAATCACTCTGAATTTGGGTGGTCAACTATGGTGGTTAGAATCCGGAGGTCCTTGGTTCGAGTCCTGCAGACAGTTAACGAACATCTATCTCACACTTTTCTCCCTCCACATCACTTTTGAAAAAAAATGAGTACATGTTGCTTTCATTTTGACTTCATGGGGTTCTGAAGTACGACTATAAGTTTCAGAGCTATTTTGATACATTTAACTCATTTTTTACAGTGTGCAAACATATATACTTGCATAGCCGACTGTAATTTTTTCTCGCCCTCTAAATCACTCTGAAAATAATGGTTGTTTTGAAAACATTGTTTACCTACAGGTAACTGATAGAAATCAGTTTTACTTTAGTAACTAATTATAGCTTGTTGAGAATAAATGTCTGTTTCCCATAACAGAAAGCAATAAATCGTGTATTTCTCTTACTCTCTATCTTTTTTTTACTTTTTTCGAAATCGCTGGTCATTGTTTTGACACCTAGTAAAATAAACACTTCAAAAGAAGAAAAAGAACAAACATTTGAATTGACAATTCTATTAAACTTAATCCAAGTAACTTATATTTTTTGAAGTTCAAATTAACCGTTGAAATATTTACCTAATTTAAATAGTAAATTTTAATACCACGAAATACGGTCGTTTAAATACTGAAACTTTTTGAGAACATATCTCAATATTATTTTAACTGATTGAAATTTCATGTATTTTAAATGATTGTTTGCATTTGAACTGAATGCTATTTGATAAAAATTCACATTTTTCAACACCCCTAAACTTATATTGAAAATAATTACTGACTAAGACAAGAACCGTAAAAAATTTTAATTGTTGAAAATGCTCTTTTTTGTCCTTTTTAAAAAAAATTATTTTTAAAAGTAAAAATTTGTATTTTTTGTCGAATATGCTTAACACCGCCGTCACAATATAGCATCATATACGGAATAACTAAGTAGTGTTCTTAAATATGAAGACAAGCTTTATATTTTATATTCAATATGCTACCTAGCTAAGAAAGAATTGAGAAAAAAAAAATTTTTGTTGTGTCGTAAAACCAAATACCGTATTTAAAATGCTTTCAAAATGTTGTTCCATTTGTTCCACAATAATTAATATTAAAAATAAACGATATGAATTGTGATTTTGAAATTCTTCTTACCTGTCAAAAATTAAAGTAAGTAGCAATAGGAATAGAAAAGTGCAGTACGATGAAGTATAATAAATAAATCTGTTTAAAGGTATATCAAGAGCTTTGAGTTTTTTGTATTCCGGTGCAAAACAATAAGCAAGGCAGATTACTGGCATTAATAAAGCATGCTTCATGACATGTAGCACACGATTTTTGTATGTCCAGTTGTACCATGGTAGTCCTTCTACCCAAATAGATCGTAACACTTGTTGGCAGTTAGGATGAGTAACAAACTGAAAGAAAATAGGTAACTTAATCAATATATAATGATGTATATTAAGCATTTCCAGATCTTATCGTTTTTAAAACAGATTTTAAAAAAAGAGAAGATTTTCATTTCGCATGGCCTAAAAAAAAATCCCGTCCGTGTTTGCTCTTTTTTTTTTTCGTTTAATGGTTTGCTATACATCTCCCGTTATAAGCTTGGCAAAAAGAATATTTCGTTTTTTTTTTTTTCTTTTTTTTAGTCTATTGGAAAAAGGAAAAAAGTAGCTTTTAAAGTTATCTTTTGATTACGTTATCTTTTGATTACGTTAAGAAGTATATATTTATTCAAGGAAAGATGTTTTTAAAAGTTCACTATTGAATCCGATGATAAAAATGTCAGTGATAAACAGCTGATAATTAAAAAAGAGGCATTTGTTAAAGATTTTTGGTAGTGACAAGAATTTAACTTATTGAACATTTTTTTCCGTTCAACGTCACGTTTTCCCATGATTATAATAGCCGTTAGTTTTTTATATTTCTAATCTACCAAATTTTAATGTAAATTTTATGCATAATCGCAGTGATTAACTTTAGGTTTGATTCACAGAGAGCGCTAAAGACAAAGTCTCGGTGTAATACATCATCTGCGCAAGAGCACTCATCTGAACTTTTATAAATATACGTTCTATGCTTGCGCAGTTTACGCAATACGCCGAGACATTGACATCGACGCTCATAGAGAATTCTCTCTGTGACTGATATACTTACTAATTTCTGATTATAATGGACTGCTGTAACAAAGCGATTTAACTTATAAGATTTGTCAGGACAGCCACGCTTTCTGTTTATTAATGTTTTCACTTCCTCTGTTGTGCGACATTCATCAAGAAGATCAGCAGCAAAACGGGAACACTGCCGGCTTAATTCCATATATTCTTTCTAGAATTACAGAAAAATAAAGAAAAAAATTATAATATGCTATTCACAGTTTTGCTCTCAGAGATTTCTGCAAAATTCAATTGACTACAGCATTCAATTACACTATTATTCAAATTACATGTAATTACATTTGACGTGATGTGAGAAAAACATGGGTTCTTACAACTCGGAAGACGTGAGGTGATTATGCCTAACCATGTGATTGAAGTTAGATTTAATTGTATACCTGTAAGCAACGTCACGCGTGTATGCCAAACCTGATTGGTTTCAGAATCGACAAATTTAACGATTTATCTGACGTCACTTGCAGATAATCCAAATGAACTGAGTGGATGAATGATCACAGTTGAGTTTATAGGGTGACAGAAAATATAAGACTATGCCTTGTATTTATATTTTTCATACGCTTCCAATTGGCGAAATCTACCGAACACTCATTCAAGCTGTTCGCTTATACCACGAAGCAATTTTATCAAATTTGAAAATGGCACTTTTAATTCGCTGTCAAGCAACTATTCTAGAGCTACTTGTCGACTGTTTAGTGCGCCAAATGCACTTAAATAGTTTTTCTGCTTCAAAAACTCTCGAATACTATTACATGGATTCTTCATCATATGAGATCTTCCAATTAAAAAACTTAGTAAAACGAATGAATGCTGTATAACTAAAATAGGAACTTCCCCGATAAATCTAACATTATTTTTTTTTTCCAAAAATATCACATCTGTCATTTATGCACTCAGCTCTCCAATTTCTTATAATCATAGACTGCTATTATTTGTAATCATACATAGTTAAATATTAGTTACCACTACTGTAATAGTTTTAATCATGAAATATAATTGTTGATATTTGCGATAAAAATTTAATTATCAAAAATTATAATTGGTTTCAATTAGTTGTAATTATGCCTAATTAATATAGTTGTAGCTAGTTTTAATTTATTGTAATTACGATTACAAATAATTAATTGCTTGGTTTTTCATAACTATGGTAGACGTGCTGTTATTAAATTAGTTATTCCTCGTTGTATGTAATAATTAAAGTAAACAAATGATTGATAATAAAAAAAGAAATATGTCTAACTTGATTTTCGGGTAGCTCACAGCTGATTAGACACAACTCGTGACTTAATTGAAAAGCTGCTAGAATAGGATCACATGATGTTAAAATGAGATACGTAGGACTTGCAAGGGTACGATACGTATTCAGCCTGCTCATAGATTCTGTTAGTGTTTCTACAGTATTAGTTCGAGTAATACAGCACTTTTCACATGTACCTAAGAAGGAAAAAATATTCATGTAAAATTAGACTTGATGAAGTTTTTTTATGCAAGTCAACCTGCAAATAGAGAAAAATAAAAGTATAAAGACTTGTTATTGAAATAAAAAAAGGAATCAAATATTATATCTAAAGCTTAATTTTTCAGCATCCTTAAAAAATTTTAAGCCAATGGTATTTTTTCTAAACTTTGTATGAAATTCTAAACAAAATGCTGCTACAAAATTATCAATAAATATTTTTAAATATGTGCTCATTGAATAAACGCCAAATAGTAACAGTAATTCTAAATGAAGCAATTCTTCTCTTATGGAAAGAGAAATTCGAGACTTTCTCTTAATAGTTTTGCTTTATAGGGACTCAGTATTGAAATTTACGAGAATCTCATACATGTGACAAGAGGTATATATAACATAGCAGTAGTCGTCGTTTTTGACACATATTGTCAAAAATGACGACTTATAAACAAAACTCGTAATAAATATTTTTAATGCAACAACCTAGTCATAAAAACTAAAATGGATACTTATTATATTGAGTGAATATACAGTTTTAAAAATAAAAATTTCAATAACGTTTTTGTTTTAAATATTTCTTTAACATTCTGCCCGCAAGAAGATTACTATTATTTTATTGAGACATGCAGTAAATAGATTATCAATAAATTGCCCGTTCACTAGACTTTTAAAGGTTTTTATTGGAAATTAAAATATTTAAGTATGATAGAAAGATTAAGTTTAATATAACATATCCTTTTTAAAACTTTTCAAAATTTTGAACATATATGAAAATATATTTCGTGGTACATATTCAAGTACGAAATTCGTATATAGATGTATGAAAGCAATGTATATTATCTAGGAATAAACATATCGGTTATAAACTCGAAAACTCAATATTTATTTGAGTACAGCATGCATTTTTTATCATTAGATTGTCTAAATATATTAGATTCAGTTGCCTAAAAATTCGATTATTAATAGATAACCCTATACATAACCGAATGCGGAATAATACAAAATATTGATTCGAAATATTTTTTTTCAAAACTGGTTATTTCGAAAAAGCTATTTGATAATAGCATTATACCTAAGATATATAAATTATAAGCATAAAAATAAGTTAATTCAAATCACACTTACAACGAGGACAATGTGGTTTCTTAACTTTATATCCTCTCTCTAAAAACATTTTAGTAATTTCAATATTTCCATCAAGAGAAGCAACCATTAAAGGGGTTAAATTCGAAGCAGCTACTTGAGGTAAACATCTAATACATTCTTGACCACCCCCAACTAAACACTTGAGGTAACCTTCCAGTATTTTATTGTCAGATACTCTGTAAGTAAATAAAGATTCAAGTAAGTAAAAATGAAATCCTAAAATAGAGACTAAATAACTAATTAAAAATTAACTATTTTTAAGACAAACTTGTCATCTTCTAATTTTTGGTTTACATTTTTTTCTAATTAAACAATATCTTTATTTTCAATTTGAATATTATTATCTCATTATCATATAAGTAAAAATAAATTTTACACCAAATCATATTACAATAAAAAATACTCTCTAGATCTCCTTGACATCGAAATCGTTGTTAAATAATATTTTTTTTCGTCATTTTTATATTTTATTTATTATTAAATTACCTATTTATTGAATTTGTACATTTTTAAAACGAAAGATATATTTACGGTGCGTAAAAAATAGCTGACATTGGAGAGAATTAAAACAAGAATTGTTTAAAGGCAAAAGGTTTAGTTCGACGAAATCGTATTGCTGAGTTTGTAATAAGACTTTATACTAATACATTAAAAAATTCATGCTAGAAAAATAAATATTGTATGACCTTTTTTTTAGATTTTGAGTACTTGGAAGGGAAACTTCAGTTGCATTTTTTTATCTATCGAGTAATATTTTTATAGATATAATAATTGATTGATAATTTAAATGCGCATATATGGTATCGACTAGCTGAAAATAACACGCTTCACAGTGGAACTATGTTATTAAAGATGTTTAACGCCTTTTTTTATTTATTTTTTCCTTAAATGAAGCATTCAAAGAATACTAACGAATGAGACACCGCAGATGCATTTTTGGAACACACTATAATATAACAATCAAGATTCGTCTTGAATTTTTTAAAAAAAGCACAAATTTTTCAAACCAAATTTGCATTGTTAATTGAGAACACGAAATAGTTATGATTCCTGATAGCAATATTAATTCAATGTCTAATAATACACTTAGAAATTAAAAGTATTTTTAATTTTTCACTTTTTTATAACTTAAAAAAAAACTTTGATTTTGAATTAAATCTTTTTTCTTTCTTTTCAATAACCAATCAATGATTATTTGATTTTAAAAATACCTTATATTTCCAAAAAAAATACAAAACTAAACTTAAGATTGCAATAAATACTATAAATATGGAACCCTTTAAGTGCATTGAAATTTTGATACATTAATATAGCAATTTTTCTGAATAATGGGTCCGTAATTATTTATAATAAAATCTGAATTAAAAAGTCTTCAATTTAAAGTTAACATAAAATTTTAGTCAATTACTTATTCTTTTTTCAATTATCAAAAACATTCAAAATACTACCTTGTTAATAAAATGTCCAATATATAAATATCCTTTTCAAGAACAGCGCTTAAAATACCACAATAATACTGTATATTACTGATATCCAGATCATTTAATAAATAATCAATCAGTTCTAGATTTCTGGCTTGAACAGCGATATCTAGAGCTCGTCTACCTCTATAATCACAACTATCCAAGTTGGGAAGTTTTCCGCTCTGCAAAAAAATAAGAAATAATATTTTTCAATGAAAATCAAAGTTAGAAAGCATGCATCGTCGGTGACTATCTTCAGGGCTAAAGAGAATAAGATAATAGAAGGGCTAGTTCACTCCGCTCTTAGAGCTGAAGCTACGATTTCCCTCCTCATGACGTCACTGTGTCCACAGATCTCGGAGATCGCAAGCAAAGATATTATGATAACTTTGCATCTTTCTCTTTGTGAAAATATGTTAGACTTTTACTGGTTATCAGCTTTTAAACTTTACGTAATTAACACATTATTTCCGTTCATAAACATAGTTCAAAAAAACTTTCTTGGCCATTATATTAAAATAAAATACCATTTTAAACTTATAAAAATGTCTTACTAGTTGGCGAAAATGACACTATAAATACTTTATTTTAAAAAGTTCAGTTTTAACTTTGAATGAAAGCAAAATGAAAGCATATATCGACACTTTTTTTACCTACATATTCTTTTATAACAATAAATTGAGTTTAATTTAGAATCCCTGATTTTAAAATCGGCCGTTAATAGCAATTTGTTCATACTTAATCATTAGGAAACATCAACCTTAAACGCTTAATTACTGAAACAAAATAATAATTTAGGTTCATAATGACATTAGAAATTTTGCAATTCCTTATAGATATTTAAATTTATGATTACATTAATTTATAGATATTTAAATTTAAGGGGATATAATTTTTTAAAAAATCATAAATATTTAGAATAACTTCATTAAAAAATATGTTATGAAATTAGGAGAATTTCAATTATATACTATATATTTTATTTATACTTTTTATTTACATTTTAATTTTCTTTGGCTTTATCCATTTTTTAATTTTTTTCACCTGCCATTCTTTTTGAAGTAACGAGGCGGTTTCTATTTAGATAATGAATTTTTATAAAAGTTCTTAACGTCAGAATAAACGTATTGCTGTTTTATATTAACTGTGTCATTTCGGAATCCATTCTTTACATAGTTGTTCATTTACTTTAGGGAACACGCGGAAAATGATATTTTTTCCTTTTTTTTCTATCAGAATTTTTGCAAGTTGCAATCGCGCAAACTGGCATTTCGATAATAGCTTTAAATTCTTGTAAATTCACAACAAAAACTGAGGTAAGTCATTATAGAAAATAACAAATGTCTTAGAATATCTCGTAAAAAGAAATGCTCCAATATTAGTTAGAGCTAGTAAGGCCGAACGCTCCGTTTTTGAAGTAAAAGTGCGAGCATTGCGCCAAAGTGACGTCACTAGAGAAAATCGGAAGATTGGCGCGGCGAGAGTTTCTTCAAAGGAGTGAACCAGCCCTTCTATTCTCTTTAGCCCTGGAATATCTTAACATTCAAATACTAGACGTAGCTCAAACTAAGTGTTTAAGAAAACACCATAACTTGATGTGTTCGATGAGCGCTTCGAAAACTAGACATAGCTCAAAATGAGCTTTAAAGAGTATAGACATAGCTTGGCATGTACGATGAACGCTTCTAAAACTAGACATAGCTTAAAATGAGTGTTTGGGAATTTAAAAAAAAACTCGAAGTGCATGCTTGAAGTAATGAACATATCTTAAAACGCGTGTTTAGGAAAAGGATCATAACACAAAATGCGTCTTTTCAGTGTTTAACAATGAATCCAAATTCTTAACACCAAAGCAATGTAAATTTCTTAAACATTAAAAAGAGAAAAGAAGCAAGGAGCAAAATGTCAGAGTTCCACAAAGAAGATCTTTGATTGGTGCCAAGCAACAAAAAACAATGCTTGTACTCCTACTCCTGTGTTACTAGTAGCAGATTCTATTCTTAGAAAATCTGTAACTAATTTCCAGCGATTGGTTGGAATAAACTCAGTGTCAGTTCTCAAAAATTTACTATCACATGTGATAGTATGAATCCAAAGATGCATTTTAAGCATTATTAACTATGCATTTTTAATCACTTATCCAATTAGATCTGTGCAACATGAATCTTAATTGCTGTTATCATAAAAACCAAACTTAATTCATGATTTAAATACTTCATCTATTATTGTATTGTATTGTGCGTTCATTTTTAATCACTTATCCAATTAGATCTGCGCAATATGAACCATAATTGCTGTTATCATAAAAACCAAACTTTATTCAGGATTTAAATGCTTCATCTATTATTGCATTGTATCGTGCGTTCAAAGAAGGCTTGGATAATTTGGTGGGTAGAGCATTGGGTCCACGTTCGACAGATCCTGAGTTTCCTCTCCGCCGATCAAAGATTGGTGGTGACTGATGCACGTTAAATCTATCGGGTCACAAAGTCCTCCATATTCCCATAACAAATTAATACCTCTGGGAGTAATGGATTGGAGCTTGATTGTTCTTTGTCAAAATTACAGTCTCTGAGTGAATGAATGGAAGTATGAATGGGTCCACCCTATAACCGGGCTGTGACTGTGACATGTGTGTGACTGGAGTCGCATTCTTGCACATAGATGGCGCAACTGAAAAACAAGACACTCACCCTCTTTCTTAAATTCGTTTGGTTTCACAAAGCAGGCTAACTTGTATTGGCAAGTAGCATTAGAGACAACAACAACGTATGAAGCAATAAGCGGTATTCGAATATTCACTCGCAAATTTATTTGTAATTTAGTAACTTCATAACACCTGAATAGAATCATGCATTGAATAGATTCATTTAAATTTTTTAATTCATTTATTGTCTTTCATAAAGCTGGTTATTCTCTAGAATGCTTTCGCTTGCAATTGGCATTGCTAAAGAATGCTCCTAAAAAAATTTTATAATACTTTGTTATGATTATTATGATAGCAAAATTGCAACATTAATTTTGGCTTCGAAAACTTCATTGCTATATTATATATATATATATATATATATATATATATACATATTTTTAGTCTAAATTACTTTTCTCTTGCATTAACTGTAGCCCAAATCTTAGCATTGCTATAATTTTCTCACTATATTTTTAAAAAAAATAAATAAATAAAATGCGCGTTTCTGATAAGCCCTGTCAATTACTGTGAAAGAACGTTTTGGATAATATGATTAGAATATTTCTCATAGTTAAATATATTTTATTAAACTTTTTGCATGACTTTTGAGCAACTTATTTTTCACAGTTAGGAAATCTTGATAAAACGGTATTGACGGCACATTGCTTGCCTCCCAGTAAAAGAATATTTGTATTAAAACTTTTCATACAATATTTGAGACAAATTGCTCGACATAGACATTTCAATGATTAGCGTTGTTTAAAATAACTGCAGTTATTTTAAGCATTCCATGGAAACCCTTAGCTTTTTTAAGGCTTTCCATGGAAGTCCTTAAAATTAATATTTCGAGCAGAAGAGGAGGAAAGTATTCCTGAAACATAATTTATTCTGTAAATTTCAGGGTTTGAAATGAATTTAAATTGATCATTCAAGGTAATTTTTTTTTCATTCAAGGAAAATTTATTTATTTTATAATTTTATATTTTATAACCGTTGCTGAACAGCCGACTTAGTTTTTTGGGTTTACTACTCCAACTCCGTAGCCTTGTAATTTTGAACCCAATCCAGAAGACAAGGGAACTCTTGGATCAAGTACAAGGAGAAATTTGCCTTCGTGGAAGATATTTTGATGGAACTAACCCGGACATGGTGAGGAAGACCACGAGAGCCTTTCATGGTTAGCCTGACGGTAAGGGGACGCTATCTCATGATCCGTCTATCACTGAGGATATTTCACGTCAGCACTGCTGTCGGTGCAAGCCGGATGCGGAATTCGTATCAACCAGCTATGACTGGGATTCGATTCCGGTTCACCTCATTGGAAGGCGAACAGTCTGAACCCCTGAGCCACCACGTCTTCTTCGTACCAGTTGGAAAAAATAAAGTAGATAATAAATTAATTGTTTTTAATACTTTGATCACCGAGGTTGTTTTTAAGGAAATTGCCGTCTTATCACTCAGTCTGAAAAATATTGCAAAGATATTTCTGGCAAAGAATCATAATATATCAATAAAACCAAATTATCAGGTATTTAAACTATTCATATGGTAAAGTTTTACCAGAAATCCAGGTTTTCAAAATTATAGTTCTTACCATAAATTTAGTAAAAATAAAAACTGAAAAGTAAATTGAATCTAATAGATGGTTTTAATGCCATGCTGAGATATAATAAAAAACTTCCAAAGTTTACCTCATTTACCAAATTTTAATTCACGTTATAAAATAATGTTCTGTTGTAAACTTTACAAAAGTGCTTCGGTAAAAAATATCGGGTTTTTTAATATTTCTACAGATCCAAAAACACAGTAAATTTCGCAAAATTCTGTTAGTTACGATCATATTTTTTCTCAGTGTACTGAAAGTTAATATTAGTGCCTCGCTTGTTTCAAATCATTTAATTTTTGTGTCCTAAATTAGCTTCCCACAATTATTTCATGTATGATGTTGCTTCAAAGCATGCTTTATACTACTGTTGGAAGAATTAGATGCATTTTTGTCCGCTTCTTGCTTTGACGAGCTATTTATAATAATTGTCTCTGGTGTAAAAAATTTCCAATTAATATTTGCTCGAGATGGTGTGCTCATACTAAAATAGAAACTCAATCCTCTGAAGTGCTTTTCCGGGATTTTCAATGAAGCAGTTATCTCTCAAAAATTCCCAGAAAACAAGTAAACGCAAATTTAAGTCGATTCGGTGCTCAATTTAATTTAATCAAATGCTACTAAGAGATAAGAGAGATTTTCTTGCTGTCTGACAATGTTCAAATTTCTCAAAAGAGCAGTATCGTACACAAGCGTTAACTCTCGGAGTCAAATTCTGTAGATATATATACCTACCCTAATCAAAATAAACGAAGAACAGGAAATTACAGATTGTATACTTGTACATACTCTAGAAGGTAAAGTATATTACACGTGTAAACTTAAACTTTAAAAAATAAGAGTCAGTTTCCTTGAATACCTTACATTTTCAAAGACTTCTAAGACTCGAAAGTTCATTAACAAGAAATCTAAACATATTCAGGATAAGAAGAAATCATTGGAACCTAAAATATCCTTGGATTAGTGCCACGGATTTTATGGATGTTTAAAAGGAATTGTGGATCTACCTTTATGTCTGTTGAACAGAATTATATTGAAATATGTACAAAGTGATTTATGCATTACGAATTTCTTATTTATTCCTTTGAAAAATTTATTCATTGGAAATGCACTAGTCCTAACAATATAAAAAACGGAAACGAATGCTATGTTGTTGTTTTTTTAGGAACACACATTACTAACAATAATCTCTCTCTCCCATTTTATTAATTAAGTTTATAATGCGTTCTAAGAACACGTTATAAATTAAGTCTATTTTCGTAAACATGTATTTTGAGTTTTGTCCATTTTTTTCTTTTAAACACGCATTTCAAACTCGGCTCATTTTTTTTTTATAAACACGCATTCCAAGATTGATCCAATTTTTTAAACATGCATTTTGAGTTAAGTAAATTTTCGTGAACTCCCATTTTGGGCTACATCCAAAATAAAAATTTCACCGACGACACATTCTACTGCACATGCTTCAATAACTTACTAATTACTCTTTTACTAATTACTCTCCTGAGACTACTCAGAATACACTCGATTACAAATTTCAAATCATATTAATCATTTTTTTTTGTTATTATGCATAATTATCGATATGCATATACTATGTACAAACCAATTACGTATATTAATCACAAGTTAATTAAAAAAAATTGCATATGTTCTGAATACGATTATCTTTAAAACTATACTTGAAGATTTTACCATGAAATAAATTTTGATAGTCAAGAAAAAAAATTAAAAAATAATAAATAAATAAAACAATTGTATTTGACTTTATTTTATTAAGAAAAAATATTTTCCCAAAATTATTTCCTTTTTCATTCATTAGATAAGACATATATTTTATTCTATTGAATTTCAACTTCTTCCTGTCTAAAAAATCGCAATCACTCAACAGAAAGAAAAAAAATCAAAGTGCAAGATAATTCATAACTCATAGTCATTAAGTTGTAAATTAACACGCCCTTTCACTCATATTTTCTAGAGAAAAAGATTACTTTTATCCAAAATTTCTAGTAAGAGAAGTAAACCACATTTATAAATCTAAAGAGACATTTATCCCGTAATTAAAAACATACTTACACTGAATAGAGTTCTTAACCCTTCAAGATCACCCCTTTCAACCAGTTTTAAAAATCGCCGATCCATTGGATTTAAAATTTCATCCACAAAACTCATTCTGTGATAAGCATAAGAACTTTCAGTATTTTCTACAGACTCTGTTCTAAAACTTGAAGTTTTCTGCAAAAGCGATGTCGCGGATTGCATTCGATTTTCCGCCATTTTGTTTTGTCGCACGCGGAAATGTTAAAACAATGTCTTAACGTCTCTAATCCCAGAGAATTATTGACAAAACTAAGTGCTCAATGCATTTGTAAATGATAAGCTTCTATAGAGGTAAAAAAAATTGATACCAACAATTCTGCTTTTGATTGGCAAATCTGAAAAATAATGGTACAATAAGTAAAGCTTATCATATCATTGTTTGGGATATCAGAATTTATTTTTACAACCTAAATGCATTTCTAAAAATGCCGTAGACTCTAATATACCTTATCCAAATAATTTATTTATTTTAAAATAAAATAAAAACTCTTGAGTCAAGAGATAAGAACTTGCAATTCATTTGATTCCATCTACTCAATGATGCGAGTAGTGTAACACGAGATTATACAAATTGCGAGTTGAATTGAAAAAAATGTAACATGCTTTTTACATTTAAGGGAGATCCTTTATCACTGAAACGCGTGGCACAGTGCACAATAAATAAACAAATAAAGACATACCGTCAATAATTTTGGTTTTAAATTATCGAAATTTCAGAAATGAAGTGTCAATCTTAATCGTTTATCATCAAAATCGTTTATCATTAAAATGTGTCATACTGTGTCCTAAAAATAAAATAAAAAATTAAACAAAGACATCATCTTGAATAACATTTTCTCAAAATTATCGGACTTTCAGAAACGAAGTGTCAATCTTAACCGTTCAAATGGTAGACATTAACTATAATGATTAGTCCTAACTGTTAAGCTACGGAATCAGATACAAAAATGTGCCTTCTCTGAATAAACATACGTGTTATTTTCTTTTTTTTTTTTACTTTTGACTATTAAAATAGAAGGGCTAGCTGTAATCTAGAAAATATGACCTCAATCAGGACCTAGACATGAGAAGCGTTGAAAATATGACTTTCTTAATGTTAATTTTTAAAATGTTACTGTTAATTGTTAAAAAATGAGTCCTTCAATGCCTTTGCGTTTCCTTATACCTATCTCAGAAACGAGTTAAGCAAATCAGAAATTTTTGCACAAGATTATGAAATTTGTTTACGCAAATATAAAACAAATAATTTTTAATAATTATTATTTTTATAAATAATAGTAGAAAATAATTTTAATTGTAAGGCATACCAATTTTTGGATCATTTTAACTTAGTAATTTTGGGAAACAGAATACAAACTTTGAAAGCAATTGGTCAAATAGTCCTTAAATAAATATTTAAAAATACTATTTTTCAGATGAATTTTATAACTAAAAAACTATTTGCTAGAATTATTTATATATTTATTGTCATTTAAAACTACATAGTCTAAAATGATGGAAAATGTATGTAACTAATGATTTAAAATTTAATTACTTACCACTATTACTAAATAAAATAGTAAAAGTATTTATTAAAAAATTTTATTTACGTGGAATTGCCTTTAGGTAAAAGAATTTTATAATAATGTACAGAAAGTTTTCGTTTCATTTAAAAAGTTTCCAAGATATGGGGCACTACGCAAACAATTAAATTAATATTAATTATTGTGTTAATTTCAGTGAAATTAACATTAAGGTCAAAATTTCGGACAAGCTTTTGACCGCTCATCTGACCAAACTGTCCCCTATATTTTGATAGTCCAGAAATGAAATCCGTCAATCGAAAAAAGCATGGTTAACTAGAAAATGAACCTTTTTTGATTCCGTAACTTAACAGTTAGCTGAAATTAGTTAGCCGATTTGAGGTCCGATCAACTAGTTAACCCATCAAAAGTATTTAGTTCATAAAAATCCGATTATTAGAACAAAAGTTATTAGGGTTATATCTTTCTTTCTGTCTCACTGTATATATGTTACAGTAATAAATCTAGTTATTATCAATAATAACCGGCGATTAATTAATAACAACCACTTTTTGGTAAATGTGATAAATAATGCCTATTAATCACATTAATCTGTTATTATTAATAATTGTCAATGAAATTTGATCCATGTGATTAATTAGGCATAATCTATTGAAATTTCAACTTGAAATCAATTTTTATAAACTTATGTGTTGTGATAATAAATCTGCCATTGTATTAGTTTAAAAAAAAATATAGGAATATGTGAAATACTGATTTTTAGTTATGTTTCAATTAAGAAAAAAAAAACATGTTTGAAAGCTCAATTTGTTTTTTATATCACCTCTATTCATGACTCATAACATTTGTCATATTTTGAGTTCATAAATTTGGATATCGTTACAAAAGATTTATGAAAATATCAATTTATGAAATACGGTTATTCTTAATGAATGTTTATTTTTAATAATTGAATTAATCGAGGGAAGTGAGAGCAATTACTTGGTTTACCCAACACTGATGTTTTCTAATGCAAAGTGCCACTGCTCTAATGCAAAGTGCCATTTTCTAATGCAAAGTGCCATTTTCTAATGCAAGTTATAATTTTATACTAACTAATGTTTTTTTTTTTTTTTTTTTTTTGATTTTTTNTTTTTTTTTTTTTTTTTTTTTTTTTTTTTTGAAGTTCAGTGCCACTGACGGGACCCTATTCTTATTAGTTTGATTTTAAAGGTTAAGTACAATTTTAAAAAAATCAATATCTAGCACAAAGCATTTGTACAAAGAATGAACAATGCGCACAAAAAATGGGCGTCTCCAGTCAAGTAATCAAACAACCAACATTTTCTAGCTGTTTGCACTCGAAAATACCGTTACCTATGCACACTAGGAAATCTCCTACAAAATGCATTGAAAATTATTATATTAATCAAACTTCATTAGTAATTATTTGTAATAGACAGGAAATGTGATGAATTCTAAAAGATTAATCATTAAACATATTTGGTTATTATTAATAATAGCTGATTAATTACTTTTACTGTAATATATAAGTATATTCAGAGCCTTTACATAAAACTGAACAAAACATTACAAATCTTCCATACAGATAAAAAATATGGAACCTTAATAAAGATTAGGAGAGAGGAAAATTCTTAATTCATTGTAGGGATTAAAATTATCTTAATATTAAAATTAATCGATCATGCAATGTAAACTATAGTAAATATAAAATGTCTTATGTTCAAGAAATATAGTAGTGATAAAGATACTAAATTTTTTCAATAATATACAATGGTATGTATCACAAGATTAATTATATATTTGCATGCATTAAAAATCTCTTTAATCATATATATGCATATTATGTAATAATATATATATTATGTAATAATATATATATTATGTAATAATATATATATTTTGTAAGGATAAGTGTATGCATTTTATTCAGAATATTTTCATACAACTATCATTTTGCATTCCAAAGCAATTGAAAATATCCCATTCAAGTATTCTAGTGATTAGTTCAATCTGTGTATTCTAGAATTGCATGTTTCGAATCAACTAGACTTTTTAATTCACGGAATTCATTATTTGTTAATGTAATTACTTTCTATAAAAATTAATTTGACAAGATCTTTATATTTGATGGATAACATGTTACACACATTTACATTTTCATACTCTATTGGCTTGCCTGTTTTGTTACTATCCTTCATACACACGACTCCACTGGTGGGAGGATTATTTAACAAACTTAACCCTTTGTGGTCCTAAGTCTACTCTCAGCCACAACAAAAAAAGAACCATACTGATATTATATTATTGAACAATAATGTTCATTTAAGTTAATTGGATTTGAAAATATGCATAATTCTAAATAATATTTTATAAATTACACTGAAATGTAACAGCATTTTTTTTTCTAAAAAAAAAATTCTTTTTTTATATATTATATAATGTTTACTCTGCATATTATGTCCGTCCAACGCAAAGTAAAGTATGTCAATTGTGTATAAATTGTGTCAAATAATGGCTAACATGCCATTAGCTCTCCAATACTTTTGAGGAGAGTGCTCTGTACTGATTCAGGAGATCAGCAATGAAAACTTGTCCCGAGTTAAACATATATTTTTTGCAACATATTATATTTATACATAAAATTAATAAGGCCTCAAAGAGCTAGCTAACAAGAATAAACTTGTCAGCACAAAGTATCTTCCTTATACCTCTTCACTCCGTAAGGAGCATAGGGTATTCGACCTGACTCTCTATTTCACCCTATTGGTCGTCAAGCAATCTCCTTCCATGTTAAGTTTATTGTCTTTAATTCAATCATACTAATTCTGTGTCTTGTCATTTTAAATGTATCCCACCTTTGCTTACCTAGTGATGTCCAGCACAGTGCCTGCCTTGAATTTTTTCTAATTTTCTTACAGTGTGCCGATCCCAACGCCATTTGCATTCTCTGATTTCTAATTCTATCGATTATAACTACTGATTCATTGTTATATATTTTGTGAAACCATTTTATACTAAGAATTTTTCTGACACAATTGTTTATAAAAACCTGTAACTTAATTGTATTTGTTAGTTATACTAGGTTTCTGATCTACATAAAAGTACTGACTTAGCATTTGAGTTGAATATGCATATTTTTGTTTCATTTAATGTAGTCTTGCATGCCCAAAATTTATTTAAAATAGCGAAAGCACTGTGTGCTTTCAGGACAAAATAAAATTTGTTAAATAAAAAATTCAATAATTGAAGCATATTGTAGAAGAGCTGAAATACATACATCTAAACATTTAAAACTGCATTTTCCAAGCTGTTTGGATAATAGAAGTCTTTGCATAATCAATTTAAGTAAGCAATTTCCATGATTAAATGCAGAGTATGATAGTCCTATGCATCTAATCAAAATTATGCGATTAAGACATAAAAATTCAAATATTTGTTAATAAAAAATTCAAATACTATCAATCATATTAAATGTTTCTGAATTATTTTGGAATACGATATTTTTCAATTTGTCCTTCCCATTGAATTACGTTTTAAAAAACATTTTTCATCCAAATACATTATCTATTTTCATTTCTATAAATTTTTGAATACTTCATCTATATTTTATAGTATTGTGTTTTTGGCAAAGAGACTGAAAAGTGTATACAAAAATGCTTGTGTGAGACACTGTGATGCTTAAGATTGTACTGTTTTTAAACATTATAAACATACTATTTTAAATATGAAAATAATATTTTATTTTAAATAGCTTATGCAATTTCAAACAATTTAATAAATATAATGCATTATAAAACTATTAAATTTAAACATATTTACAAACTTTTCTTGATGGCACTCATACAGATAAAATATCACATTTCAGAATTTTCTTATTATTATACAATTTAATCGTAAAATATAAATGGTAAAGAAGTAGGCAGTTTTATCTGCACCCTTTGCTTTGGAAATATCATAGGTATTCACATTGAAAAATATAGTAAATATTTTAACAAGATTATACATTTTCATTCATAAAATCAAATGTTTGTACCTTAATTTGTGCTCTTTTTTGCTGCTTTAATCAAATAACATATTTCAAATTTTAAATATGAAACAATGCATGAAATATATTTATAGTTTAGAGTTTACTTTTTCAAATTACTTAACTTGAGGTGTTTCAGGGTTTATTAATTAACAAAATAAAAATATTCAATTATTTCAAGTTTGTTGTCAGCTTTACCAATCAATATATGGTTCAAGATAATTTCAAGTTCTAAATATTCCAGGTTCATTCTGCCTGATAGAAAAAATGGATTACATAGACATTTGATTGCATTGGTATTTTATTAGTTAAATATTTCATTACTATAGTAAATACTTCTGTCTTAAATTTGGTCTCATTAATGCAACTAAAATTCTGAACAATCATCAAACAAATAAAATTTATTGCAAATATATACTACCAAGTTTCCGCTGCTCTAAGCGTCACAAAGTGATTTTCTGATACACTAAATTAGTATGAGAGTTACATACCTTGATAATAAGCTTAATTTTTACTGCTTTTTCATTTTAAAAAAGTAATTCAAAGTAAAAGAAAAACAGAATATGTCTAAAATGACTACAACATTTGACCAAATATTCACTAAGTTGCATCTGGTTTAAGTGTTTCTATAAAGACATTATATATTTCATTGAAATGTATTGGTCTACTTATCAAACTATATTTTAGTGAAAATGTCATTGTTGAATTGTTCAATTCTTACAATTATTATGGTAATTACAGAAATTATAATTAGGCAACCATTTTAGGACAACAGAGAAAAGCTTATTGGGCAATTATTATAGGGTAACGAAGAAAAAATTTTGAAGAAAATATTGAGGGGCAGAAGAGAAAAGACATATTGAACAATTATTATGAGATTGATGATTTTGAAACACACATTTAATGTTGGTTAACTATTTCAAGACTTAAATCACATCAATTGTATGCTTAACAATGCATCTAGAATACTTCATAAAATCATTTGAAATATTATTACTATATCAAAGATTCATTAAAATTTTAAAGAATTTATAAAAATTATCATACAATTAACAATTTATAAAAAATTGCAACACAACAATATTCAATGCAGATCATTAGAAAATCTGGAGTATATTTATCTGTAGTACACAAAAGAAAAAACTTTATTTTTTTATTCATAAATGCTTTACTAAAACATATTTTCAAGCTAGAATATTCAAAAGTAACAAGTTAAAAAGATTAAAACAATCTTTATTTCAAACCCGAAAAAATTTTATTCTCAATATATACACTAGGTGGCAGTACCTAATTTTTTATTAGTGGTAGACAGCATTAAGAAAAAATAGATAGAGTGCACAAAAGTCATAAGTTTGGGAAACAGTGTGCTAAAGGATAGTTATTTTTGACTAGATGTCAGCACTCATTTAAAAAATAAACTGAAAATTTACCCCCTCCCTCCAAATGAATTATACAAATTATACACACACTTAGTTTTTAATTTAAAAAAAAGGGTACTTTTAGGACAGTTGTTTTAAAAATAGGATAATAGATAAAACTGTTTTTTCAATTTTAAAATGACAAATGCAGTCAGCTTGACCACAAAATAACTTTGACTATTTTTAAAAGATTTCTATCAACTTAATATACTTTCTTAACAATTACAAACTTTATGATTTTATTCTTTTACTTTATTTTTAATTGGTAGTAAAATAATACTGTCAATTCAAATTACAATGAACAAAAAAAAATAAACAAATAAATTTGCTGCAAAACTTTAAAAATCTTATTATTTTGATTAAAATAAAAGAAATAATACCTAATTAAAATAAAAACTTTAAAAAGGCAAATCATTGTAATTTCTTTATTTAATTAATATATACTATCATTTTAAAACAAAAATAACTAACTATATATAAACAAATTTATGTATAAAAACCATATGTAAACAATTCATAAAAATCAAATCCATCAGCAATTTTAATAATAATAAAAATCATAATTATTCTGATAAAAAGATAAATCTTGATGATTTTCAAATATAATTAAAAATAATTTTCCATTCAAGACAAAAATAACTAATTAAATGTAATAATAAGCTCTTGTACTTTTCATGCAACTAACGTAAACAAATAATTTATAAAAACAAAATTCATTAGTAATTTTAATAATAAAATTTAGAATTATTCTTTTAAAAGAGGTATATATATTCTGATAAGGTTCAACAAAATATATCAATAAAAAACTTGTTTCAAAAAAATAATGTAATATTATTAAGTATGCATGTTAAGTAAACCTTTTATAAATATATTAAAAAATTAAAATGGTCTATTAAACCAAAAAATTAAACACAAAATTTGTGATTGAAATTCACAAAACACAATCTCTTGAAATAAATCCTGAACAGAAATGATTAAAAGCTGTTTCAGTTTTTCAAGGAGCATAACAAAAAAAACAAAAAAATTAACATTTTCTTCCTTTTTTTACGATTTCAATAGGTATAGTAATTTGACTCTTAAGCATGCTTATCCAATTTGCATTTCTGCCAAAATCATAATATGGAATAAAAAAGAAAATAGAGCTAAATAAGAAATTTAGAGGAAACCATGAAGCAAAAAGTCCACTAGAAAAAGACCTGACTTTCGCAATGCAACCACCAGTTTCCTCATTTACAAAGGTCAAGTGTATAACATATACTTTACGACATCGAGCATATACTAAAATTTCAATCTCACTTCTTTCAGCTTTTTCTTCCACATACTCTATGGTAAAAACATTTCCCCGAAGGCTCCGCCTATGAAGTTTTGTCACTGCTTGTAAAATATCTTTTGAGCAAACTATTGGATTAGCAGAAACTTTCCACACTTCTTCATATAGATGTGGTGAGCGTATACCAGGAATCCAAATGCCAGGTCGCAATTTTGCTTGTATAGCACCCTGTCCAGCACACAAACATGTAGCTTCAGGAGCTTCAGGGACATCCGTTGACATGGTTCAGAGATAAAGCAAGCAGTTATTAATCACCTGAAATCATAGAATCAAATAAAAATAAGAACAAATGTAGAAGCTGACCATTCAGTTTTAAAATGTGCAATAATATGATAGAGTATTGAATTTATATACTTATCAAACCATAATTTTTTTTAAATGCAGAAGACTTTTTGTAATTATTAGAATTTTTCTAATAATTAAAAATTAAGATCAAAATGTACATTAATTATTCTATTTTGCAATTTTATTTAAATACAAAACACAGGATTATAAGAAAAATTTAATTTCACCAATATGAGAAAAAAATATATATAAATTTATCCAGATTTATAAAAATAAATAAATAATATAAATCTGTAATTACTAAGAGATAAGTTTTGACACGTTAAAATTTACAGTGTGCTCGATTCCCTGCACACTATAGGTTATTAGAGAATTATCATTATTTATGATTCCCACCATACACGAGAATTATGTGAATCTTGAGGTTAAAGCAAACTTTAAGCAGTTTTTCTTTAATAACATACACTATAACTTCATCAATTTAAATCTGATTTGGTTAAGAAATTAATAGTATATGTTAATATAATTTACACAAAGAATTCTTTTTATTCTATTTACAGATTTCAATTTAAAATTTTTTTAAAAAAATAATAAGTTTTAAATAAAGAAACTATGTGTAATGAAAATTAGAAATTACATTTTAAAATAAATTAAATAAAAATTCTGAAAGTCATCAAAACTATGATTAGCAAGACAGGAGTTTTACCTAATATTTTAAATGAATATCTTCACTGTTTTATTCAACATAATAAAACAATTTAAATTTTAAGAAATGATTTTGCACTTAAATTAGTTTTTATTTCATTAATAGTATATAGGTACAGCAGGTAATTAAAGGTTTTCTTTTAACACATCGCAAGCGGTTAATGTAAAAATACGTTTTAGAAATTTCTGTAATCCATAAAAAAAAGTTAAAAAAAAGTGGTAGCAAAACTATTTTGTTTCTGCTCTGTTTTTCAAAGAAATTATCCATTTTTTATTGCCACAAACATAGATGATTCAGTATACATGTAATCAGTACGACAATTATTTGTCATAATTTTTTTTTTTTTAAGTTTTAACTAATTTAACAAGTTTGCTCCAACTTTTATGAAATCTTGCCAACCACTTTTTTAAAATTTTAATCTATAACAGCTGCAGTACATTTTTTCAAATAGTTGCCTGAATGTAATGAGTTACAATTATGGTATTTTAATTATGTGCACACATTTTCTAGTGTGAAAAAGTGTTTGAAAAAATCTTATAATGAAAATTAGAAAGCCTTACAAAAAAGCATTAAGTAAGCATTCAATTCAACAGAAATAAGGAAAACTGAAGTAAAAACAAAAATCTACCTATGTGCAAACTGTGGCTGCATCAAAGCTCAATTAAAATCAGAATTTAATCACTAAACCCATTTAAGGGAAGAAAATAGGATTTTCTTTAATTCAGGTGGAATTATTAATGCTCTATTGTCTAGCAATACGTTTTAAGGAGGCTTTTTCTTTTCATTATGGAAATATTTTTAAAGCTCAATGCAAATTTAGGCAGTTGATTTAGCTGAATACAACCTGAGATACTATATTCTAAATATGTGTAGACAACATCTTCAGACAATCAGCCTATTTTGTATCTTTTCCTAAAGTGCACTTTAAGTATGAAATGTAAATATGCATTTTAAAAGAACCAAATGAGTAATCTGCTGAGAATAAAATGAATACTGATACATATTTACTATTTCAATTTTTAGAATTATGCAATTTATCACTGAATCTGTTTATGTTATGAGTTACTTAGCACAATAAGTATTTTGGCTTCCAAATTATTGAAATTTTTACATTTTTAACAGTTTAAACTATTATGCTTTTGAGCTTAAGCTAGCTAGTTCACCAAAAAAAAAAAAAAAAAAAAAAAAAAAAAAAAAAAAAAAAAANAAAAAAAAAAAAAAAACTAAAAGTTCACCTTTCTTGATCATGATTTTGTCACAATTTTTAATATAAATAATGAGAATTTCAGGATAACATTTGTACACTGAATAAGAGATAAGTTAACATTTGTACACTGAATGAAAGATACATGATAATAATATATAAAATATTTACATATATTAAAACCTAAAAAAAAGAAAAAGAACACTTTGCACTATTGTTAATTAAATATTAAACTATGTTATAATTAGAAGCTTAGCTGTCTACAGTAAATTCTTAGCTGTAACATGAGAGTACCTCCAAAATAAACAAAAGAGTCAACAAAGAACTACAACCAAAACATTTTACCATCAAATAAAAGTTTAATCACTTGACAAGCAAATGTCTAAGCTCTCTGTGTGTTCAAGAACTTAAGGTTATCTGGACTGAACTCGGTAGTCAGGCAAACTTTTGTGGTCAGCTTTTCCAACTGAAAATTAATTTTTGATTAATTTTTTAAGCACAAACTTTCAAAAATAATATAGAGAAAACTAATATTTTTAACACATTTAATTCATGAACCATAGTTGAAAAAGAGGTTCACGCAAAATAAATCTGTAAAATATTGTAATTGTAAATCTTAAAATAAAATGATACTACTCATTGCATTCTCATACATTCACTCACTGCTGATATATGAAATGCTACATTATATACCTATAGTGTCTTAACAGACAAGGACAAATACAACTTATAGTTGTCACAAAGAATGGTATTGAAAAACTTTATCAATAAAGAAAAGCTTTAATACACTCAGAATAAATGCTCTCAGCAATACAGGATGTTTTTAGAGTTTAAGACTACACATTAAAGGCAATTGGGTCTTCTCATATGACATAACAATAACTAAGAATTAGAAAAAAGTGTCACTGATAAGTATTTACTCTGATGGCCATCATGTTATACTTCAATTAATTATTAGTTTACTTCTATTAATTCTAGGAGCAATTTATATTAAATTCCTTAATTTTAAATTTTTTACTGTTTGAAATATTTAAAATTAAGTATGATTTCCATTTTTTTTTTCATTTATTACTTCATTTTTACATATATATTGATGATAAATACATAGTAATCATTTTGGTTGAGTGCAAAATTGACTTAGCATGAAATGGAGACAGATAGGTACTATTTCAAATAACAACACAGTGCTTTCATTACAGAAAAAAAAATGGGAGAGAATTTCTCACCCTTTCTCAAAAACAGGGTGAGATTTCAAAAATTTAAGTGAGATTTCTAAAAATTAAAAAAAAACACGAATAGACTCGGAAAAAAATTATTTCGTTAATTATAATACATTTTTAACATCTTCTAATTGAATATTTTTGCTGCATCTTCATATGGAAAATGTTCTATATCTACTTTTTCATCAGTTATTATATTTATTTGGCTGAAAAATATCGGTATTTGTTTTGTTTTGACCGTTTCTACCGACATTTGCTTCATTTTCATTTGTCCGTTACGGAGTAGAAGATGTCGCCTTAACAAGGTATTTGTTCATCTTACATTTATGCACAAAAAATGCAAATGTCTTACATGAAGAAACCTCACCTATGGTGAACATGTGGTTGCAGAGAAATGTGTTCTGAAAGGGGTTCCGTGGTTCGGGGGGTTGGTGTTCTGCTGTTTGCACCGGTTCTGAACAATACTGGTAAATAGGGAAGCTAGATAACAAGGACCGATGTTCAAAATAATGATCAAGGAAGAAAAGCGAAATGGATTTTATTCAAAATGGCAAAAGACGAAATTCTTTCCAAAATTCGTGCAGTTTGAAATTGATTAATAGAGTGTGCGAACTTCTCACGTTAATAATTTTTTATTGCGTGAAAATAAAAGAACATGATGCGAGATTCTCGCATTCTCACGCAGTAGTGAAAACACGGCAACAATTCTAATATTACTATTCAACAGAAAAATGATGAGAGTTTTATATGAAAAGTCAAAATTAAAATGTCTAATGTAATAGCAAGTTAAAATTGAAAGATCTAAAATAAAATCAGAACAAACACAGCTATTTTCCTTATTTTTATGTTACAAAGTTTATTTTTTTCAATTCAATTTCTTGTTTTTCTTTTCAATAACTGAACAATAACTCATAGTGTTATTTAGGTCATAAACAGCAAATAGTTGCATCAAAAATTTCTACATTATGATAGATAAATAATGGAATATTACTAAAAAATACTAATGAATTGTTTTTACCACTTTAACATGATTTCATTTTGTACATTTTTTGAATTTCAAAACCCTGTTTAAAAAATTATAATTAAGTTGCAAAAAATAATTTTTTTTAAAGAAAGATTAGGGATATAACAAATAGTCGGCCATCATTTAGAATTCAGCCATTTCGCCGAATATTTGGCCAAATATTCGACCGAATGTTCGGCAAAGTATCATTTGGAAAATTATTTCTGGGCAAAGTTTTTTAGGGAGAAAATTGAATAGATTTAATAAAGAATAACCTATAATCATATCTATTATCAGAAATAGTTTTTACACATATTTTTTTAATTCCAAAACTTGTTAATTCATGTCCTTTACCCTTTTAATGTGAGTTGATTTTGCATATTTTTTGAATTTCAAAATCCACTCTGTTAAAAAAAATCATAATTACGTTGTAAAAATTATTCGTTAAACAGAAAAATTAATGAGGTAATGAATATTCAGCTGACTGAATATTTGGTCAAATATTCGGCAAATTATAATTTGGAAAATTATTTCTCAACAAAGTTCTTTAGGGAGAAATTTTAATAGATTTAAAATAAAGAATAACCTATTATATTTTTTACTATACATTAACATGAATAGTTTTTACACATATTTGTTAAGTTTCAAAACTTGTTAATTTATGTTCCTAAAGACACATGGAAGAGCAAAATTTGAAGAATTGAAACTAGATTACTTTATACTGAACCATGATAGACATTAGACCATCTGATAGACATTATCATTTTTAATGTTTTTCATAATTTTTAATATTAATTTTAATAAATTAATAATATTTAATAAATTAATTTTTTTAATAAAATATTTTTAGCATTAAAGTTTTGTTTTATGAATTAAAGGGACATTTTTTTTCTATTTCTTTTTTTTTTTAAACTTTACAACTTGAGTTTGTTTATTTTTTCAATAGTTGTTACAGTTTTTTTTTTTTTTTTTATCTTAAATAGTTCTAATTTTCTTAATATTTCATTATCTTAAACAATTCCATTTAAGGTTGTTTTTTTCTACCTTTTCCCCATATCAATAATAAGTTATGTTTTGATTAATTTTCAATAATGACTAAACTTACTTATAGACAATAAGATATTTATTTATCACTTTTTTAAAATAAAGTTGCTATTTGACAACCGAATATTCAGTATTTTGCAGATTTTTTTGGCTGAATATTCAAAATTCGACCAAATCACTATATGTACATCCCAGAGAAAGATGACGAGGACATATTTTTTTAAGTCACAGGAAAATTTTCAGTTGGATACCAACAACATAGCCTCTATATGTATACCCAAAACTCTATAACATAAATGCCAAATGGAAATTAAGGTTAGCCAAATGTAACTTAGCAGCAGAATAAAAATTATTTCACAGTTGACAACTTAAAAAAAAATTTTAATTTGAAATCATTAAGAATTTATCCATTACCTTTCTGTTAGGGATATAGCTCATTTCAAATATTTCTTCTTGAATTTTTATTGTCTATTATATTTTATTATAGAATTATTTATAAATCTATTTTCTTTTGTTAGGAAGATCTTATTAGGAAGATATATCTTATTTGAAATATTTCTTCTTAAATTTTTATTTTCTATTATTTTTTATTTTCCATTATTTTTTATTATAGAATTATTTATAAAAGTTTATTTTTTAAAGTCTAAAAAAATTAAGCATTTTAAAGTAACTAAAATGTATAGGTTAAAACAAAAAGAATGGCATTATTGTAACCAGTCGGACCACAATATAATTAGAATCCCTACGTAACTATTTCAAAATTACTTTATTAGGTGGCAAATATATTGATGAAAAGATTAATTTTAACAAATGAAAGGGGAGATTTCCGTAGCGTGATCTGTGGCAGGATAACTGCCAAAATCTTGGAAATTTCTGGGTAGTGGCCAGCAAGAAACTAAAAAAAACATCACAGAAAGGGACCAACTCGAAAGGTCTAACTCGTAGCCACCTGCGGGTAAACATCTTCATTAATTTTTTTAAAGAAATTTGCAAGTTTAAAATCTATTTGGCACCTTGGCGATTGTAGTTGGCTCGACAGATCACGACATGGAAATATCCCCAAATGAAATATTGGTCGATCAATATACATTCTAATTCTTACTGAATAGAATTTTCAGGAAATTACAAATTTTAATTGATACTTGGTAAAATAATTCGTTAATCAGTCATTGTAAATTTAATTTTATAAATGAATTTGAATATAAACACACTTTTTTTACATTTAACCAATACTCATTGTAAGGCTCACAGATACCTAACATGTTTGTTTATTATTTAATTATAATGATATATAACTTATAAAAAATTGGAAATTAAAAATATTTCAGCATGATACTCATCTATGAGTCATTTGCAACATTAAAATTTTATAAACGAACCAAGTTTTCTTTTAATAGATAATTTTAAACTTAGATAGCCACATTAAAAAATTCATGAATTTTATATTTTACTTATAAAATAAGAATTAAATACTATTAACAAACTGATACAAAATTCTCTTTCATATTAACGAAGAAAAAATAAACACCAATACATGTCAAGTTCGTGAATAAGCTTATTACAATTGATACAAAATAGTGAATAATACACCCATTTATTACTGATAGGCGTTTAGGAAAACAATCCAAAAGCAACATATCTTTAGGGGGGAAATTATTGCATAATTTCAGTTCCACATTAATTGAATGTAAGATTATCTTTTGTATTAACTACCTAAAACTTAATGTTTCCATATCCCGCCATATATATATCCATACATATTTCACTTGAGAAGAATCGCATGACAAGCAAACGAAACAGAACAAGCAACAGATTGCAACTCGACACTGAATTAATTATTGAATATATATGCTCTTAAAATATTAGCTCTTAGCTTACATGGTCAAACAATTGTTATGCTGAGCTCTGATTTTCAGTTGATACAAACTGAGTCAGATAAAAAACTGCGCAAGCGTAGAAAAAACGCGTAATAAAAAAAAATAGTCATTTTAAAAACCATTCTCACTGCTCAACTAAAAAAAAAAAGAACAGTCATTTTAAAAACCATTATCACTGCTCAACTTCTGTTGTTGTTGCTAATTCCCATCTGGTCTGACGGGGTCAGACCAGATCAATGAATCCGTTGACATTCAGAAAATCCGAAACCAGAATGGGAGAGGAATGAATGTCATTCCAGTCCAGCCCTAAACAGTTCAAGATGTGCTCAGGTGATGCCTGGTTTTGTTGGCATTTAGGGCAAAGAGGAAAGATTTTTTGATTTGCAGAAAATGTGAGACTTTTTAGGTGTCCACTGGCCAGTCGGGATAAGCAGGTGTTGGTTTGCCTATCACCAGGGAGAGATAGAGAGAGTCCTGGTCTTTCTGCTTTATACCAGTAGTGAATAGGTGGAAGCAGCCACTTTTGTTTGTTCTGGGCCTTTTGCCTTGCAAAAAGTTCAAGGTATGTAAGCTCTGAGGTGGAGGGAACTGGATGGTCTAGTCCCTTCTTTGCAAGAGTGTCAGCCAACTCGTTGCCGTGGATATCGACGTGGGACGGGATCCATTGAAAGTGGACCTCATGCTGTTGGGAAATGAGCTTTACTTTTTGTAGGATCGAAAAACTGGTTTTATCTCCAATGAGGGCCCAATTTTTGAGGTGTTGAATTGAACTACGGCTGTCAGATAGTATCCAAGTATTTCCAAGGTGCCCTTCACTCAAGATTTTCTCTAGTCCCCTGTCGATTGCAATTAGTTCGCTTCGAAAGACGGAGCAAAAATCGGGGTTTCGTTGATGAAGAGTGTAGTTCTCTCGAGGTGTTTCAATAAATACCCCACTGCCAGTCTGTCTATCCATTTTACTGCCATCAGAGAATATTTTGATGTCGTTTGGAGGGATTTTATTGATGATTTCCAGGGACAATTGTCTGAGGAAGTCAGGCACACAGTCTTTCTTGTCAAGCATGGTAGGGAGGCTTTCATGGAAACTAACATTGGAAAGATCCAAGCAAGTACTAAGATTGCTATGAAGATAAAGAGGTTCAATATTTTCAGCGATTAACAGTTGTGATTTAACATGACTAAAAGGACTGTTTTTCTTTAGCCTTTGATTGCAGGTCCAATTATTTAGGTAAATAGCAGTTAAATTGCCTTGGTCTAAACTGGAAAGTTTATTGTAATATTTCACTAAATTAGCTTGCCTTCTGAAGTTAAGAGGTTGCAGATCTGCTTCGTAAAGAACGATCTCTGAAGGGCAGCTACGTTTCAGTCCAGTGATGATGCGAGCGGCGCTCAGTTGAACCTTTTCCAATTTGTTTAAGTTAGATTGAGAAGCACAGCAGTAGACAGGATAGCCATATTCAAGAATTGGTCTAACAAGAGCCTGGTAGGAAGTCCTAAGAGTAGTTGCATCTGCTCCCCAATCCCTACCAGCGATACACTTAATAATAGACACTTAGTAATAGACACTTACACTTAATAATCAACTTCTCAAATGCTCTTTCGAAAATGCAAAAATTGTCCAATCAAGATTTTGTACGCATCTCCGAATTCGCGATCGCAATTTCCGCATGCAGTGACAGTGGCCCTTCTTAATTTGTATATGATGAATGGTTAACTGAATGTAAACAAGGGATGGTTGACTGAATGTAAATATAACAAGCTTCCTAAAACCGGAAAAAAATCTAGAAAACTGTCGGTGTCTCTCTCCGCTTAGAATATGCTTACGAGGCGCTGTGTGAATGTCACGAGGTGATGTGCTAATATTCTAGGATGTTTTTTTTTTTTTTTATCATGAGTTGCGTTGCGTTTAAATTTACCCGTAATTTTACCATTCAGAAGAGTGTTCTGCATTTTATTAATTCTAACAAGTTGTAAGCCTTAAACAAATTTAAGAAAATTAATCTCACAACATAAATGAATGGTAAGGTTGTGTGTTATACTTTTGCTTGGCTATATTAGTGTAAAATATCACCGTTGGTTATTTTTTGGATCGCATCATAGCATGCTTGTAGTGTCTTCCGAATTCATTTGTGGTTTGGTAAACACGTCAAATATAATAATATTGGATGACGTAGAGGCATAGGGCAAGCATAAGCGTAAAAATCAATCGAAAGTAGTAACCCGTACGTTTTATGAGGAATTTTAACCCCATCTGTGCTTAGCTTTACACCGTCAACCATCCATACTAAAGCTGGACGATATCGGAATTTCTAATATCACGATAGATCATTAGAAAATATCAATATTTTATGATATTTTGTGGAGCCTTTAATATAAATTAAATTCATTTTTTTAATTATATTGGGGAATATTTTTGTCAAAATGAAGGAAAAAAACATTTTTTTCCCTATAACTATTTTAGTAATCATAATTTTTAAAATTAACAGAGTAATTGTACGAATTTAACAACGCATAAATTAAGCATTCTTGTCTTTTAAGTTGATATATAAATCACAGTTATTTTTATGAATTAAGAGCTAATCTTAATTACTGATTTATAATCAGAGAAAGAGAAAAAAAAAGTGTAATTTTAAACTTTATTATATTAAATAATGTTATTTTAAGGATTTTGAGATTTTGCGTTCATTCTAGTTAAACTAATTTTTCCATTCTTGCTATTATTGAATATTCTTTCTAAAAAAGTGGCAAAATTTGATAATACATTGAAAATTTTAAAATGTTATGATAAGTGTTTACCAAAAAGTCTTTAACCAAGAAATGATATTAAAAAAAAAAAAATTGAAAGATGGTATGCAAATGCACTTTTAATTGGGTATAATATAAAAAAAAAACACAACTACTTCCACTTAGTAGGAATAACATTTACCATGAAGCAATGCTAAATTCTATGCCACTATCCACATAAATCAATTATTAATCAAAAATCGAATATCAATTACTTTTCTTTATACTGCAATAAAATCTGGTGAGCAGCTATTTAAACGATCAAACACTTCGTTTGTTTATTTGTGGCTTTAAGTTAGGCTCGCAGAAAATGCCGTTTATGGGTTAAATTTAGTAGGAATAACACAACCTGTGACGTAGGCTACAGTATACCCAATCGGAAAGAAATTTGTTGTCAAATAAAAGAAAATGTAATTATTCTGCCTCTATATAACAATTTTTACTGAACTCCATAAAACTGCGGAGCGAAAAAAATTATAGTTCTTCATAAATTATGAGCTTACAGATAAATTAATTATTTTGCCATTTGATTATCATTAAACTTTATAAAAATATCTATTGTTCCAAATTTGAAAATTAAAATAATAAATATTTGAAACTTTCTTTAAAAAAATTTTCTGGTATTTAATTACTTTTATTTCACTTAATTTTCTTTATTTTGTTTAGTTTTCATGTATTTAAAATAATAAATAAAATAAAAAATAAAAGTGAGATGCAGGTGGTGCTCAACGTTTTTTTGCGATTTTTGACTTGCCGAAAAGTTCTGAAAAAGTTGACCAAAAAGTACTAAATATTTCATATCAAATATTAGTTTTTGTCATAGACAAAAATATTAATTTAAAATAATAATTTGATTTTTTTTACCTATTGCTTGTAGCTGTTAAATGACAAAGATTGTTCTGAGATAATTTTGGCTGAAATTTATATGTAATTCACAATTAATTCTACATGGACAATGTTAAATCCATAATATATTAATGATTATTTGCAGATCCCGTTAAAATGTATCTTTCAGACAAAACTCGAAATTTATCGTCTGAAGAATATCATAGGTTGCCTGCTTGAAAATTATTAGTATGATTAACTTAATAGTATGATTAACTTAAGGCTTTTTTATTCTAGAATATTTTTAGACCTCTGCTTTGAAATATTACTTTGAAACACTTTTTTAGTTTAGTTTCAAATGCATTCACATACATGAAGAAAAAAATATTAAAAATGAAGAACTTTAATACATGATAGAGCAGTGAAAAATGAAAATATTCCGTAAAAAATTCTGACAATTTAGTTTAGAAAATATGTAATTTAGAATAAACATATTTTAAGCATTTATGGAAGCAATTTTTTTAAATAACTAAGAAATAATTTATAGAACTTAAGAATTCTAACTGTATCTCTTTATCAATTTTGGCAACAAATAAAAATAGTCTTTTTTCCTCTCATATAGAGAAATCTTAAATGTTTACTTTAAAAAATTGAACATTATCTAAACTGAATTTTTAACGACCGGATAAGATAATGGATTTTTTAAATATAAAATATGTATAATTCAATTAACGTTATTTTCCAACAAATTCTTCTTTTTATTTATTTTTTAAGGGAAAATCGGATTTAAAGAAAAAAGATATAAAAACACGCAAGCAGCAAAAGGTATAATGCCAAGATCAACGGTTTTGTCGCCGTGAACTGTGAAACATAGTATGAAAAAAAAAGCTTTCTTCTTCTTCATGGAGTATCAGAATTTTTCTAGTGGTGATATTTTTCTGTATTTATCAAGTGTCGCTGTTTTTCGCTATTAATCTAGTGTCGGTATTTTAGCGTTTATCAAGTGTCGGCATTTTTCTATATTTATTACGTGCCGATGTTTGTCAATGTCATGGGTGTCGCAAGGGTCCGATTTTGAGGGGGTTGAAATTGAAATTCACAGTCACAATAGTTCTCTAGATTTCACGCATAGCAAAACATATTCCTTACTTCTTTATGTCTTCAAAAAGATGACTTAAATGCGTTTTTTTTTTCATCTCTTTCTCATTTTTTTTAATTTCATGAATTTTAATTAAGGATGATTCGTGATTATTTGGATGATTATTTGTCTGCAATATTGAGAGGGACTTTAAGAGATTTCTTATTATTGAAAAAAGGCATATACCCACCCAACTCCAGTCTGCGACACCTTTGATCGACATCTGTCGCGTGAATATATTTATCTTATT